TCTGGAACTTCTATCCTAAAAGCACAATGGGTAGACTGCACCAAGTGGACTGCAGCAGTTCATGAAAGCAGCTCATTATCACATTCTCAAGGGTAATTAAGGGATGGGTGGCAAATTGGTAGTCATCATCCCACATCCTGTGAAAGAATAAATAAAATATTGCCTAAAGTTATCACCTTTTCACAGTCAGACAGCAAGCCACACTGCACACAGTATAAGTATGAAAGGGGATGGGATTTTGTTATGCTATCAAAATATTGCCTAGTGTATCATATTAATGAGAGGCCTAATGATTTGGTTTCAGTTTTCAAATAGCAGATCATCTGTAAATACATCAGAACATCATGGCAGGGAATTTCCAAAGGGTACTTCAAATTCACTGGCAACACAAAACGATTGTGCCAAGAACAAAATTGATGAAGCATTCATGTGTTTTAGCTTGAGAGGGGGCTGGTGAGAGGTATTAAAATACCTTGCAGAGTCTTTCACAAACAGATCAAACAGGTTATATGAGGTGTAGGAAAGACAAATTAGTACATCGTCTGTGACAGAAACAAATTCTATAGGCAATAGGTTTTATCTGAACCAGAAGATAATAAGTTGAACTCCAAACACATCTGCGCATAATCCATACTGGTATTTCAGTGCAGCACCTGGGGAGTGTTGCACTCTCGAAGATGAAACTTTAAATCCTCTCAGGTGAACAACACCAATTTGTACTTCCGTGGCGTCTTTAAAGTAAGAACATTTCCCTTGGAATTTCAAGATTAATGATCAAACAAAATTTGACACTGATTCTAAGAATCATAGAATCCCTACAGTGTGGAAGCAGACCATTTGGCCCATTGAGTCATACCAACACTCCAAAGAGCATCCCACCCAGACCCACCATCTACTCTATCCCTGCATTCCCCATGGCTAATCCATTTAAACTACACATTGCTGGACAATGGGCAATTTAACTTGGCCAATCCACCTAACCTGCACAACTTTGGACTGTGGGAGGAAACCGGAGCACCTGGAGGAAATCCATGCAGACATGGGGAGAATGTGCAAACTCCACACAGACAGTTGCCTGAGGGCGGAACTGACCCTGGGTCCCTGGCGCTGTGAGGCAGCAGTGCTAACCACTGAGCCACCATGCCGTCCCGGTCTTATAAGGTGATATTAGGTCAGGTGTCAAAATTCTTGGTCAAAGAGGTAGACTTTAAAGAGGAGGAACGGTGGGGAATTTTAGAGTGAGAATTCAAAGCTCAGGGCAGCCACTAAAAATGGAGCAAAGAAAATCCAGCCCACGAGAGTGCAGAATCAGAGAAGCAGAGATATCTTGGCAGGCTCGGTTTGCAAAAATGGGGCATTGCCAGACCTGGACCTGATGAAGTTATCAAGCACAGCAGCGAAAAGCGTTGAAAAGGTCTTGGTGCCTTTTAGGATACATTCAGCAGAATTTTAGAATGAGCTCATACAATCCAGGAGGAATGGGTATCTCTAAAGATAACAATGGCATGCATGAATATCTCAGCAGAAAATGAGCTGAACTAGTGAGCAGTCTTGGTAAAAGAAATGATGAGTGGTCAGAAGCTCAATTCTGGGTCAAATAGCCTCAGTTAATGTTTAAGGGGAAGGAGGGAGTCAGTGGCTAGGGAACAGAGGTTGTGTATGCTAAGACTGAAATGATTTTGGTTTTTCCAGTATTAACCTGGAGGAAATCTCTGCCCGTAAGATGTGTAGTAAAACCAGGGGCAGAGGAATGAAGAAACTCAGAGAGGTGGTGGTGAAGCAGGTTGGGTATCATCAGTATAAATGGGGAACCTGACTTTGTGTTTCTGGATGAAATTGCTAACGGGCAGCATGTCTCTGAGAAGCAGAAGTTGGGGGGGCGGGGTTGGTGTCAAGTTACATTCTTACAGTACTCTAAAGCTAACAGTGAGGGAAAAGAAGCAGGTGACTCTCTGGCTTCTTCAAGCTGAATAAGAAAGTCCCATCCATTTCGAGGAAGGAGGATGGAGGGTGGTGTGACCAACTTTATTAAAAGTGACAGGTAGGACAAGAAGAATGAGGAGGGCTAGTTTATCACAGTCACAATAACATACGATTAAATACATGATTTTGATGAGGACTGTTTCAGTGCTGTGGCTGGAGTAAAAATCCAATCAAAGTATCAAACACGGGGCTGCGAGAAAGATGGACATGGATCTAGGAAGTGACAACGTGCTCATTTAAAAATACCATGGCACTTCTTCCAAAAAGAAGATGGATGTTCTCTTCGACAATATTTATCCCTCAGAAAATGTGTCAAGAACAGATCATCTGGCGATTATCATTTATGTTGTTCTGTGAAGTATGTGATTGTGTACAAATTGCCTGCCCCATTCCGACATTAAAACAATAGAATACATTTAAAAAGTACTTAATTGGCTATGAAGCACATTGTATAAATGTGAATTTTTTTCTGTTGAAATGGTTCAGGTATTAAAACTTTTATTTGCAACTCTGTAAAGTTGTCATATTCTGTTTCAAATCCAATGCTTTCCAGATAGTTAATAAGACTGCTATTTCACAACTGTGAGTGCCTTTTCTTTGTAGTAAGATGTTGCAGAGATTGGTGCCAATTAATTAATATTTCATAGGCTCTTCTACAAAGATTTATTTATTTCTGATTAAATTCACACTCATTGTATGCTACAAAACATCACTTCCTGCTGAAACAATAGGCTGAATTTTAAGTCCCAAAAACAGGTGGGCTGAAATTATACTGGAAATTGAAATGCAAAAATTTTTTTGAGCTGGAACCAAAACCGAATGGGGCCCAATCTGCTCATGTTTAGCAATTCAATTATATTGCGGCTGTGTTCCTTCATTTTAGCCACAGGTGGCCAGGTTTCCCCAGCTTCATGAAACTCAGACATGTAAAAGAGGCAAGAAAAGCTGAATCCACAAGGTAAATGCCTTTAGAAAACCGCTCACAGATCAAATCTAAACTCAACAATCTAAACCATATTAGCCCCACTTCAGAATCTTTCTAATTGAAAACCACCATCAAACTTCACTCTACTCTCTCCAGACCACTGCCGGACCCATCCTGCATTTGGCTACTCCCAGCCCCGTGGGTGGGGACTCACACTGGATCTCGCTCACTCGCCCCCAGTATACACAGGCCTTATGAAGCAAGCTTCCCACCCTGAAGGTCTCCAGCCTGTCATTTGGACAATCCATGCCTTTGTGCCAGACCTCCAAAGAATAAGAGCCAGAGTAAAATCTGGGGCAAAGGATGGACTTTATGAAGGTCTCAGGGGTGTTGCCTTCTGGTTGGAGGACCAACAAGAAACCGGCATTGCCTCCTCCAGGGAAACCCATACTTCAAGCAGGTAATATGGCAGAGGCTGCTCAGATGGCCAGGACCAAAGACCCAGGCAGAGGGGTGAATCGTGCTTGTCAATAACTGGCAGCTCTTTAACTCACTGGCATCTCTGGGAAGACTGTGGAACGGCAGCTGCTGGAGTTCCAGATCAAGATCTGCTCCAATCTAAATTATGTTGTGACTGTGGCTGCAATTGCAAATCAGAGGCTGGGGTTCTGCAGATTGAAATGCAAATACTGGCTCCACTATGCAAGACACAAATCTGGAGCATGATAGGATACTCTCCAATTGCCTGGATGAATGCAGGTCAAACAGCACTCAAAAAACTCAATGTCATCCAGGATAAAGGAGCTGACCTGCTTGGAATCTCATACACTGACTTTCACTGATCCACAGTAGCACATGTGTGCCATCTACAAGAAGCGCTACAACAAGATGTCAAGTCTCCTTTGATATTATTATCTAGAATCCATGACAATCTAGAGGGACAAATGCAACAGACATGTATGAATACCGTCACCTGCAAGGTCCTGTCCAAGACACACACCATCCTGGTTTTGGACCATGTCATTATTCCTTCACTGTCACTGGGTTAAAATCCTGGAAATCTCTCCCTAACAACACTGTGGGTGTATAAACCACATGAACTGCAGTGGTTCACGAAGGCAGCATAACCCTAAATTTTCAAGGTCACTGAAGGGAGGGGTAATAAATGCTGGCCTAGACAGTGATGTTCAAATCTCATGAATACATTTTTAAAAATTAAAAATGTCAGCACATTCAGGAGACAAGAGTAAATTAGCAAAACAAAATCAATCAGTTTAGAGTTCATTAATAAATACATCTTATCCTTACCCTCTTCACAGGATATGTATAGTGGATGGGAGAAATAGATATAAAAATGTTGCTTATTTGGATCAGAGATAGTGGGAACTGCCGATGCTGGAGAATCTGAGATAACAAGGTGTAGAGCTGGATGAACACAGCAGGCCAAGCAGCATCAGAGGAGCAGGAAAGCTGATGTTTCGGGTCTAGACCCTTCTTCAGAAAGGTCCAGAAAGGTTAGCTTTCCTGCTCCTCTGATGTTGCCTGGCCTGCTGTGTTCATCCAGCTCTACACCTTGTTATCTTGAGTATTTGGATGTTGTATTAGGAATTACAATGCTGGGTCTAATGATATTCAGCATCTATATGGCAATACTAGAATGTTTCTCTATGTTTATAACTATTAAAAATGCTTTTTATTTCTAGAAGAAACTTCAAAACTCTAACAATCATTCAAAGAAGAATACACACTCTGTATGAGTGTGTCAAAGGAAAGTGTGTTGCCTTTACTGTAGCTATCCCCACGACAATTAGTTTAACTTTGCCCATAGCACTTCACATGAATCAACCCACAATGAGGACTAAGACAGTGAAAGAATAAAGCAACAAGCTGAAGGACCAACTTCAATGGTTCAGAATCTAAGGACATTCCTGACTATCAATCTTTTGATATGGCTGATCAGAACACAAATGGAGAGTAAAGATGTGTACAGAGACTGATTCGTTTTCAGAAAGATACAAATCATGACTGGAAGCTCAGGTAACCTAGCAGTGAAAGCAGAATAATATATGGAGCAATGTTTCAATTACCTTACCTGTAACATCACAACATTGTCACCCTCAAAGGTTACGAATACATCAGAGTCACATTTCAGCCCGGGGATACGGTTCTCCATCATGTAACCCTGGAACAAGGCAATTGAACAACTTCAATTTATACACATTGAGGTAACACGAGCGTTGCTAAACAGCCTAAACAAACTGAAAAACATTAGACAACAAAATACTGCATGACTTCATGAAACAAACTGAATCTCAAAAACATATGGATTGATGAACTGAAAACAGGAAGTGCTGGAGAAACTCAGCAGGTCTGGCAGCATTTATGAAAAGAGAAACAAGATGTTTTGAATCCAAAAACTCTCCTTTGGAACTGGGAAATTTTATTATTTGATTGATGTACTGCTTTAGTCAAATTTTGACAAGCTAGAGTACAGGTACAGGAGGCCGAACAGTGTTTTGTTTTATAAGTTGTAACTGTCGCCATTGTTTAGATATCTTTGTATTATGGACCTCACCAAGTTAGCAGGTAGACAACCAGTCGTCTATTTTGTACAAAATAATATCTCTGAAGGAATTCACTGAGCATCTCCCATTCTGTTGATGCCACACAGTCTGTGGTTGGAGACAATGTCTTCTTAGGCTGTATTCTGTCTAGCACTGAGTGTCCTAACAATTATGCCTGACCAGCAAAGTATTTGTTCTTATTGCTACACGCCATAAACCATCTTGTTAACTAAGAATAACATCTCTTTTGTACGCATGTATCCTTTACATATGCTAGACATTTGACAGGGTCTGGACAAAATATAGACAAGGGAGGACTGGTGGTAGCAAATTATCTGAAACAACCCTTCATCTGAACCACATAATGACAGAGGTGGCACATGTTACGAAGTACTAGTAAGAGCATTCAGGGTGATACCACAATCTATGCTTTGTCACCTTCACAAGGTTAATTACCTAGGCACATGCCTCTGCAATTGATGATGGGTTTTATTCGTATGGCAGTCAGCCTTCTACCTGTTTAAAGAAATAACATTCACTTATTTGGAGCCTTTCATGACACCAGGGCATCCCAATCTCAAAACCCTTTCTGTAATGCAGGAAAAAGATAGTGAATTTGCAAAGAGTAGTTTTCTGTATATAGTAATGTAATAAGGGCCAGATCATCTGTTCTTGAAATATTGATTGAGGAATAAATGTTGGACAGCACACTGGGCTAACTTCTTCAAAACAGTGCCATGGGATATTTTACAACCACCTCAGAGGGCAGATGGACTCCTTACTTTAACATCTGCTCCTAAAAGCTGTATTCACAGAAAAAAAAAACAGCCATGGGCAACTAAAGAGGTAAATGACAGCACAAAACTAAAAGAAAGGGCTTAAAAAAATGCAAAAACAGCAGAGATCCTGCCAAAGATACAAAGACTAGCAAAGGGCCACATAGCAGCTTATAAGAGCTACTAAGAGGTAGTTTGCAAGGAACATCAAGATCAATAAGAAGAAATTTTATGATTACATTAATGGGAAGCAGGTAGTCAGGCCCACTAAAGAATGAAAATGAGGATATGGTCAAAGACTATGGGGAAATGGCAGACATGTTAAACAATTACCTTGCTTCGGTATTCACAGTAAAAGAGTAGGATAGTTTGCTGGAAATCCCAAGAAAATTAATAAGTGTAAGGAACTGAATAAAATTAACATTAAGTAAAATATCAATAATGAGGAAAATTAATGGAACTAAAGAGTGACAGTTTCCATTAAGAATGTTAAAGAAAGTAGGGAAGCACTTTGTAGCTGTTTTAATTATAATCTTTCAGAAACAAAGACAGAAACTTCTGGAGAAACTCAGCAGGTCTGGCAGAATCTGTGGAGAGAAAACAGAGTTAATGCTTTGAAGCCAGTGACCCTTCTTCAGAACAGTTAACTCTGTTTCTCTCTTCATAAATACTGCCCGACCTGGTCAGTTTCTCCAGCAATTTCTGTCTTTCTTTCAGATCTCCAGCAGCCACGATTCTTTGTCTTTTTATGATGTTTCAGATTTCTGTAGATACAGGATTTGTCCTGTTGGATTGGAAAATTGCACATCATCCTGCTTTTTAAGAAAGTAAAGAGAAAACCCGGAAATTACAGACCATTTAGCCTAACATCTGTGGTGGGGAAATTGTTGGAGTCTACATCAAGGATGGAGTAATTGAATATCTTGTAAATTTGCAGTTAATCGAGGACAGCCAGCATGGATTCATGACAGGTAGGTCATTCCTGACAAACCTCACTGAAGTTTATAAAGAGGTAAAACAGTAATTCTGTTTTCTCTGCACAGATGCTGCCAGACCTGCGGAGTTTCTCCAGCAATTTCTGTCTTTGTTTCTGAAAGATTATAATTAGAGCATCACAAATGTGCCCTCCTACTTCCTTTAACATTCTCATTGGAAACCGACACTTTTTAGTTCCTCATTAATGATGTCTTACTTGTATTAATTTTATTCAGTCCCTGTCTGCTATTAATTTCCTCAGGATTTCCAGCAAACTATCCTACTCTTTTACTGTTAACACTAAGGCCACATAATTATTTACCATGTCTGTCGTTTCTCCACAGTCATTGACAGTATCCCCACCTTCATTCATTAATGGGCTAACATTGCTCTTGACTGTCTGCTTTTCATTTATGTAACGATAAGATTTCCTCTTATTCATTTTAATGTTCCTTGATAGCTACCTTTCATAGTCCCTTTTAGTTGTTCTTATAAACTCCTTTGCTAGTCTTTTTATCAGACAAAGGTCAACCACATATGTGGGAGTGACAGAAGCCTCCAATTGGAGGCTCTGTTAAATTTTAATTTGCTAAATTTGAATCATGCAATGTTCAACCTGTTAGTTCAAATTCTTCCATGTTCCCATTTTGGAAACAAGACTGTAGGAAATTTATTGACCAGAAATGAACACAAATGCCTCATTTATAGGTTCCAAGTTAAAAGATTTAATCATACAATACCCGCATATGCAATCTTAAGTACTTATGCTATCTTAAAAAGGACGAAAAGCCTAAAAGAATTAAATGCAAATGAAGAAGATTAAAAAGTCATAGAGCGATGCAGCACAGAAACAGACCCTTTGGTCCAACTAGTCCATGTCAACCATTTTCCCAAACTAAACTAGTCCCACCTAGCTATGCTTGATCCATATCCCTCCAAACATTTCTTATTCATGTACTCATCTAAATATCTTTCAAACGTTGTAACTGTACCTGCATCCACCACTTCCTCTGGAGTTCATTTCACACAGGAACCACTCTGTGTAAAAAAAATTGCCCCTCATGTCTTTTTCACATCTTTCTCCTCTCACCTTAAAAATAGGCCCTCTAGTCTGGAAATCCCCCACCCTAGGGAAAAGACACCTGCTATTCATCTCATCTATATCCCTCATGATTTTATAAACCTCTATAAAGTTACTCCTCAACCTCCTGTGAATCAGCTAATAAAGGTGTTTGTGAGAATGAAGAAAGGAGCACTGAAAACAAAAAAGTAGTCTCACAAAAATCAAAAGGTAGCCCTCAAGACGGTCTCTCCAAGAGTCCTCAAAAATCAATACTTTGATCTTTGCACAGCTGGCACCTAAATTGAACAAAGCCACTTGTATGAAAAGACAGTAGATGCAGAATCTTTAATTATTTTTAAGACAGAAGTAGATAGATTCTTGATTACGAAGGGGATGAAAGACTATCAGGAATATACAGAAATGTACAGTTGAGGTTAAAATCAGATCAGCCATGATCTTATTAAATGATGGACCAGGTTCGAAAGGCCGAGTGGCCTACTCTTGTCCCTCTTCTTATGTTTATATGCATAGGCAGAGTTTGACATTCAGGTATGTGGGGTCATGAGTTAGTATGAACGGGGAATGGGGAGTGGGAGGTGAGGTGATGTGAGGGCTGAGGACTTGATAGGTTTATTTTGTTCTATTCTTTTATTTACAAGTTCCAGAGAACAGATTAGGATGTTATGTTTCACTTATACAGGACATTTCTGACATCACATGTTGAATACTGTGTGCAGTTTGGTCTCTTTATTTAAGGAAGGAGGAGCTTGCGAGATTAAACCTTGAAGAATGAGCGTTGCCTTATGAACATCACTTGGAGAGGTTGGGCTTGTTTCCAGCGGAGTTTAGAAGATTGAAGGGTCACCTGACTGAAGCATATGAAACTATGAATGTTCTTTAGATGGTGAATGTGGAAAGGATGTTGCCTCTTCTGGGTGAGTTCAAGGGGAGATGTTGGCCTGGTGGCATTGTCTCTGGACTGTTCATCTCAGGTAATGCTCTGGCGACCTAGTTTAACTTCCGCCACAGTAGATAGTGGAATCTGAATTTAATGAAAATCTGGAATTAAGAGTTGTAATGATGACCATGAATCAATTGTTGGAAAAATACATCTGGTTCGCTAATGCCCTTTAAGGAGGGAAACTTCCATTCTTACCTGGTCTAGCCAACCTGTGACTACAGACCCACAGCAATGAGGTTGACTCTTAATGTCCTCTGGGCAATAAATGCTTGCTGAGCCAGCGATGCCCTCATCCCATAAATGAATAAAAAAAATGGTTTTGTCACTTTAGGACAGAGATGAGGAAAATGTTAAAACTCTTAGCATCAGAAACCGATGGAGGTGAGGTCATTGAATATTTTAAAGGGAGAGGTAAACAGGTTTTTGCCCACCAGGGGAATCAAAGGGGAGCGATGGAAATGTGGAATTCAAAACAAGATCAGCCATGACTTTATTAAATGGTGGTGTACACTTGAGTGGCAGAATGGCCTGCTTCTGCTCATAGTTCGATTGTTTGTTTAAAAACAATTGCTGAAAGGAGACAAAAAGTACAAACTTAATGTCTTGTACTCATCAGAACCAGCTTGAACAAAAGGGACACCATTTTATACAGCATAGGAAGAGCTGTTGATTGGTTGGGCAACGCAGTGGAAGGTGGCATCATCAAAACAGATGTGACGGAGAAACTGTGAGAATGGAATGGATGTTGATTGGTTGGGCAATCACTGGCATTGGCATTTTTGGCCAACTCAAGGTAATTCCATTCTATTCTCACAGTTTCTCCATCACATCTGTTCTGATGATATCACTTTCCACTGGGTAGTCTCCAGTATCACCTTTTTCCTCTCCGTTATGGTTAAGAGGGCCTTCAGCCATATACAATCCATCTCCTGCAATTCTAACCTTCTTCTCCTTCCCAGGACAAGGAAAGGGTTCCCCTTGTCCTCACGTTATGCTGCATTAGTCTCTGTATTGAAAGCATCATTCTGTACCATATCCAGCAGGATTCTTCCACCAAGCACATCTTCCCCATCCCTCTATTGCCAGAATTCTGCATGGACCATTCCCTCCATGACACCCTGGTCCACTCCTCCATCACTTCCAATGCTTCCCCACTCCCTCATGGTACATTCCCATGCAAATTGCAAAGATAACCCTTACACTTTTACAACTTCCCTTCTCACTGCCCAAGCCCCAAACACAGTGTTTCACTGGTCTACTGTGTTTCAATCTAATCTACTGCATTCACTGCTCACATTGAGGTCTCTTTAACACAAAGAGACCAAACGTAGACTGGATGATCACTTTGCAGAATACCTCTGCTCTGTCCATTACAAAGATCCTCACCTCCCATTTGCTTGCCTTTTCAATAAGGCTCAGAGCTGGATGAACACAGCTCCTATGATGCTGCTTGGCCTGCTGTGTTCATCCAGCTCTGCACCTTGTTGTCTCGGATTCTCCAGCATCTGCAGTTCCTACTATCTCTTTTCAATAAGGCTGCTTGCTCTTATTTGAACATTTCTGTCCTGGGCTTGCTGTAAAGTTCCAAAAAAGTACAATGCTAGGTCGAGGAAAAACACCTCATTTTCCACTTAGGAATGCTATAGCCTCGAAGACTTCATAAACTTCATAAACTGATCACATTACGTCTGTTCTCCATATTTCTTACATTCTCTGTGCACCTCCCCACTTCCCCTTCAGCTGTGTCATGTTTGGGTTTTGTTTATTTGGCACGTATGTCCCTTTCACACCTTAATTTACACCTATTTTACAACTCTTTTTATCTCCAGTATTAACAACCTTTGTTGCATGCACTAGGTCCCTGCACTACCAGCCCTTTTGCCCCTCCTTAACAAAGACCCTATTTCCCACACCTTGTCAGTTCTGAAGGGTCATATTGGACTATAAATTTTAACTGTTTCTCTTCCCACAGATGCTGCCAGACTTGCTGAGTTTCTCGAGCATTCTCTGTGTTTGTTTCAGATTTTGAGTACCTGTAATATTTTGCTTACCATCTGGGGCGGCGACCAGTCCATCTCCCCTCCCCCTTTAAAATGTAGCCACACAATTCTGGAACTCCCTCCCTAAACCTCTCCATCTGGCACACCATTCTCTTCACCTTTAATACACCTTTAAAACCTAGTAGACAAGGCTTTTGTCTTAATATCTTCCTCTCAAGGCTTGATGCCATGTTTGATAATGTTCATGTGAAGTGCATTGATATGTTTTGCTACGCTATGGCATTATATTAATCCAAGACACAACTGTAATGGCAAAAAACAGATGTATGAAGTAGAAGAGTTCTAATGTAAAAGAGCTAAAGCAGGCTGCAGAAGAATTTTAGGAGAAGCTGGTAGCAAAGTTGAAGACTTCCACAGAAGACCAAGTGCCATAATAGAAGGTAAACAACAGCTGAGTTCTGTGGTTAGTTACACAAGACATATGTATCCTTAGAATTTGAAATCAATCCAAGTATACGTATATAAAATACAATGAACGTGTAGGAGTAGGGGCTAGGAGATTGGGATGTTCCTTTCCCCTTGTCTGGTTTAACCTTGAGAAAAGAGTTACAAAAATTCAGAAAATAACCAAAACAGGATTATCCCAGTTTCTGTAAAGTTTACGCAGTTTTTCCTGTAGAAATTCAGCCCTCATTATTTTTATTCCAATCAGCTGCCATTTTCATTATCTGCTAGAATTTTCACATCACAAAGCCTAGTGCACGACATTACTTGTCACAGTTCGATAATAGCAACCTGACCGAAGCCAAGAAAGAAATAAAAACAGAAAGTGTGGGAGAAACCCAGCAGATCTGACAGTATCCTTGGTAAGGGAAGTAGAGTTTTTGTTTCAAGTCAAGTATGACTCTTCTGTTTTTCTTTCTCCACAGATGCAGCCAAACCTCCTGTGTTTCTTCTGCACTCTCTGTTATAGTTCAGATTTTCAGCTTTCACAGCATTTTGCTTTTATATAAAACCAAGAAAGGTTAAGTGTAATTTGATATTTCTATTGATCTTGTTTTCAGTACTATGTTGAAGGAATCACTGTACTACATATTATGGAGTCTTGATTATCCATCAATAGTATTAATCATCAAGAATGAGGGTTACTATGGCAACATATTAATGCCCTTTAGGATATTCAGGGAAACCTTGTGCTTAGAAAGTTGTCCAATGGATCATAAAATTAGCAATCATAAAATAACTCTGGTCTTTAGCTCTAGTCATAAGCAAACTCACAGAACAGCCCTCTTTACAATTGGATGGGAGCGGTGGGGGGGAAGAGGGGAGAGAGGGGGAGAGAGAGAGAGAGAGGGAAAATTATTGCAAAATTCTGCACAAGACTCATGTTGTGGAAAATCTATTTATTCCCAGCAACG